GCTGTGCCGCCGTCGGTGGCATGCGGTGCGTCCCTGTCCTCGTGGCCCCAAGGTGGCTGCAGCACCTCCGGCATCGCTGCTGTGCCGCAGGCAGGACTTGGTGGAGTTGGTGGTGTTATCCGCACCTTGCAGAAGAGGAGAGCGACTTGGGGGGCTGAGCTGCTCCTACTGTAGGGGTGCAGTGAGGCTGGAGATGGTGTGAGCTGGCACATAGTAGGTGTGATCGTCCTGGGAGGCCTGGGGAGGTGCTGGCCACCTGCGGGGTGAGAGTGGGCTCACTGGGGCCCCTGAGCTCTGCTCACGCTCAGCCTTGGGCCTCGGCCCGCCGGCGTTGCCCCTCAGAATCCCACCGAGTTGCTGGAGGATGCCGGCCGAGCCGCGCAGCCCTGTTGGCTCCTCCTGCCTGTTCGGGAGCCAACAGACTGGGGCTGGGGTGATGAACTGAGAGCAGCCATCCGAGTGTCACCCAGGCCTGAGCCCGGTCCGCGGGGGGCGCCTGGCCCGCACCTGGCAGCCGGGTCTGTGGCTCGCTCCTCGGTGCCCTCTGAGGGGTGGGGGGGATGGAGGGCGGGCTTTCCTGTTCTATCTGGGCAGTCAGATATAGTTCAGAGGCAAACTATGGTTGGGGGGCCAGATCTGGCGTGCCGCGGTTCTTTTATAAATAAAGTTTTATTGGAATACAGCCATGCCTTTATTTCCCTGCTGTCTGGGCTGCTTTCGTAGGGCAGAGTGGAGTTGTTGTGACAGAGACCGTGAGGTTTGGAAAGCCTAAAGCGCTTCCAGCCTGACCCTCAGGCGAGGCTTTGCTGAGCCTGGCCCTCAGCAGCCCGGGGCCCGGGTCGGGAGGTACACGCAGGGCTGCCCAGCAGGGCTGCAGTCTAAGAGCAGGGCGGGGGGTTCCGGGTACAGCTGGGAGGTGGCACCGGGCGAGCCAAGGCCCCGAGGGAGTTGGACTTGGCTTTGGAGCAGAGGGGGATCTGATGGGGGCTTCAGAAGCTTGGACCCAGCGGAGGCTGGGGCTTCACCTGCCTGTGTGATCCCTTCCCCCACACCCTAAGAGAGAGAGAGAGAGCAGGAGCTAGCGAGCCATCTTCTATCTGCTGCTTCACTCCCCAAATGCCTGGGACAGGACTGAGCTGGGCCGAAGCCAGGAGCCCCCGTGGAGATGGCAGGGACGGGAGCACTTGAGCCGTCCCCCCTCCCAGGGTGCGAAGGCAGGCGCTCCGGTTTGGCTCCGGTATGGGGTGCGGATGTCCTAAGCGGGGACCCAGCAGCCACACCAAACGCCTGTCCCCGGATCGGGGGTCTTCTCAGAACAAGGAGCTGCTGGTGGTGCAGGCTGAGGGGCGGGAGAGGGTCCTGGGCGTCCACCAGTGGCAGCAGGTTCCAGACACAGCCCGGGCTCAGGGCAGCTGCTCGGGGCCCGGCCCCCTGGGGCCCAGGAGCTGTTTCTCCAGGAGCCCTGTGCCGTCTGCTTCTCCAGCGAGCTCCGGTCTCCGCGTGTTGCCAGCTAATTGTTTTCATGGACTCATGCGTGCCTGCTCTGAGGCTGTAGGTTTGGGAACTTGGGTGTCCAGGATGAAAGTGGGGGAGTGGGGAGGCCCCCAGGGGACGCGGCTGGGCTCCAGCTAGCGGGGCAGGAGGCTGTGGCAGGGCCCGAGCCCCGTGGTGTCAGGTTTCTTGTCTTGACTTAGCCTATCCCAGGCCTTGGAACATTCCTTCCTGCAGCTGGGAGGTGGGGGTGGGGAGCCGGGGCCCAAGGCCTTGGGTGCTCCTTGCTTACCTGGCTGAGTCCTGGGAGGGGTCTTGTCAGGGGTGTGTGTGGGGGTGGAGCCCCTGGAGGTCCCTCCGAGAGCACTCTCGGAGTCCGGGGCGGGGGGCTGGGCAGGGGCTGGGCCCAGCTGACCATAGCTCCTTGCTTTCCTCACTCCTGGGCTCGCCTTGCAGGCTGCTGGGAGAATCCAGGGGACTGGGGCCTGGCCTTGTGGGGGAGGGGCGGGCGCTGCTCGCCCACGTGGACTGGAGCAGGCTCTGGGGGCCGCTGGCCGTCTTCAGCCTCCCGCACTGGGTCCAGCTGCTGGTCTCCGGGCGCTAGCTGCCACTGCTGTGTGGTTGTTTCAGGCAGCGCTGGTGCGGGGGGGGGGGGGTCTTAAGGGAGGAATCGGGTGGCCTGGCTCCTGGGAAGGTCCCCTGGGGTGCTAGCCTCAGGTGCTCCTGGCCCCGCCCCCTCTGGGTGGGGACAGTGGCAGGAGTGGCCCTCACCTGGGGGCCCCCTTATTGCAGCTGGCAGGAACTCGGGGCAGGGGCCAGTCAGCACCTGGTCCCAGCTGCAGGAGCTCGGAGGCCGCTTCCCTGTGGGCCTGCTCAGTCCATGCTCACCCCCACCCCGGGAACGGTTGTTGTGGGTTGGGGGCGGAGCTATCCAGCCAGGCCAGACCCCTCTCCGTGGGTGCAGGTGCATCCTTAGAAAATTCAAGATGCCAGCGCCCGGAGGGGAAGTGGACAGGTGGAGACCGCGCGCACCCATGCTCCAGGGTTGTATGTGGGGCTGAGGAGGCCACATCCTGGCTGGGCTGGCCCAGCCCTTCCGCCGTGACCAGGGCATGGTCAGGGCTCAGTCCCAGTGGAAAGGGTGCTAGGCCCACCTCGGCAGCTCCCAGGCCGGCACCTTCATGGCAGAAGGAGCGCTGGCTCGTGGGGGCAGCTCGTGCTCCGTGAGCCGGGCGTTCCTGCGCGCCGCTTCGTTCTCTGAGTGCACGCACAGCGGCCTTAGCGCCCCGCGGCCGCCTGGCCCAGGCTGCTGAAGGCAGGAGTGGCGGTCCCGTCGGCACGTCTCCTACGCCCGGCCTCGCTGGGCCTGGATCTCTGTCGTCCCCTCCGTCGGGTCCCCTGGCGGCTGTACTGATCTCTCTCTCGGGCACTCCATCTCCTCGAGGGAGGAGCAAGCCCTGTCCCTGTTGAGGACCAGGTCCGACGGGAGGAAAGGATGAGGGCCCACGTGCTGCCCCCCGCCCCCCACGCACCAGCAGCCTGCGAGCCAGCAGAGCCAGGGCCTGGCCCCTCGGGGGTCACACGGTGCTCTTCAGAGGCCGCAACGTCACGTGTGGGGGTCGGAGGGCCGCATTCACTTGAACGTGGCGTTTCTTTGGAACTAAGTGGCCGATCCTCCCGAGAGAGAGAGAGACAGACAGACAGACAGACAGAGGGTGACGGCGCCGTGTTGAAGAGCGCCTCCCTCTCCAGGGTCTGACTGGCGCGGTCAGGGACGTGCACGCTGGTCTCCCGGGTCGGCCCCTAGCCAGGCTGAGCCGAGGACCACCTGGAGGGGGCGTGCACTGCTGCCTGGCCCCGGGTGAATTGTCCCCTGACTCTGCTTTGTGGCCGCCTTGATTGTACTTATTTATTTGAAAGGCAGAGTTAGGTCTTCCATCCACTGGTTCACTCCCAAGATGGCTGCAATGGCCAGTGCTGAGCCAGGCTGGAGCCAGGAGCTTCTTCCAGGTCTCCAGGCACTTGGGTCATTTCCGTTGCTTTTCTCGGGCCATCAGCAGGGAGCTGGGTCGGGAGTGGAGCAGCCGGGACCAGAGCCGGCATCCACGCTGGCTTAACCACCAGGCCGCAGCACCCGCCCGACCTGCCTGCTGAACACCCGGGGCTGGCCCCTCCCGCAGCAAACGCTACCCCACCCCTGGCCTTCAGGGCCCCCCTGGGATTGGAGGTGGAACGTCTTACGGTGGCCCCTAAGGACCGGTGTGGCTGGGCCTGCTTCCGGCTTCACTCCCTGTCACCTGAGCAGCAGTGGCTTGAACCCCAAGCTCCACACCCCACCCCGCCCGCCCCGCCCCGCACATGCCTGTTCCTGGGCCTGGAGCACCACCCCTTGCACACCCCGGCCCCGGCCCCAGTCAGTGCCTGGCGCGCTCCCGCGGGCGGGTTGAGGTCTGGGATGGCCAGCTGGGGTGCCAGTTGCAGCCGTGTTTCTCAGTGGTGGCCCAGTGCTCCAGGAGATGGGGTTGAGCGGGCGGGGCTTGGAGGGGGTGTGAACTGGGCGAGGCGCCTGCCGAGGTGGGGATGACAGACGTGGCCTGAGGGGTAGCACAGCGCTGGACTCGCAGAGCGCTCGGTGAGGCAGTCGTCGTAGACCGTGGGCTGGGGCCCCGTCCTTGCCCTGGCACCTCTGGCCGCAGCTCCAGGCTGGGTCTTGGCCAGGGTTGCCGGTAGCTGTGGGAGAGGGGAAGGGGCAGGGGAGACCCATGGACCGCTACCCCCACAAGCTGCCCACCTCTCTGCTGGCCGCCCCCAGGGGGGCCCGCAGCCCGGAAGTCTTCCCCTTCCTCCTGAGTCAGCCTGGGTGCTACACAAGGACCACCTAGGACCCGCCCAGTGCCTGAGTGTGCCAGCCTCGCCCAGGCCAGTGACAGCGGAGCCGGCGCGGGGCCCAGGCACAAGTACTCCATAAACATTCCAGGAGATTCTGCGGTCTGGCCAAGAGGGAGAACCATGGCGCCCTCCCCCTAAGGCGGGGTTTTCTGCGCGATGCCCAAGGATCCTATAGGGCCTGGCACCCTGGGCTCGGGGAGGGGGCGCTGCTGAATGGGACTCCCCCACCCCCACCCCCCCTGGGGTGTACTCACAGGTTTGATTTTAAGTTTCTAAAGAGCAACACACATGCCAACGTGGGCACACAGGGAAAGCCAGGCCCACCCCCCCGGCCAGCCGCAGCTCCCGCTGGCTCTCGGGCAGCCCCACGGTGCTGCTGCTGCACACGCGTGGGGCGCACTTGGCCACCTGCCAGCAGGAAGCGCGCGTGGATCTGCCCCAGCACTTCTGAGGCCAGCAGGTGTTGGGCAACGCCCAGGTGTGGCCGGCTCCGGCCCGCGTGTCAGCCCTGTGGGCACCGCTCCTGCAGGACGAGCCCCCGCCGAGCCCCACGCCGCAGCCCCAGGTCCTGAGACGGGCGGGGCGAGGTCACTGAGGGCTCCTTGCTTTTGTCGTTCCAGAAGGCGTCTGCGCCAGCGCCGCCGGCCTATGAGCTGCCCACGTTGTACAGGACCGAGGACTATTTCCCTGTGGACACCAGGAGGGCCCAGCAGCCGAGCCCCTAGCTGCCAGCAGCGCCGTGAGCTCTGCGCTTGTCCCCTCAGGCCCCGGGGAAGGGCCCTGCCTTGCCTCCTTCGTCATAGTTTCTAGCACCCCCTCCCCTGTAGCCAGCACCCATGTGTGCCTCGGGGCGTAGCCGGCCTTGTAAAGGGACCCTGGCTGGGGGGCGTGTTGGTCGCGTTGCCCCCTGGCCCTGTGGATGATCCCAATAAAGGTGTCAAGAGCTCACGCGTGGTCTGGGTGTCAGCGCTGCGGGGTGATGGCTTCCGCTGGTGTGAGTGGCTTCCGCAAGGCCACTCGTGCGCCCGATTGATCGCTCACGACCAGGCTGCCTGCAGCCGGGGGCCAGGCCTGCCTGGCCTTGGGTTCCAGCCAGAGGTCAAGGTCACCAGGACTTGCCGACCTTGGAGGTGAGTTTCCAGCACTGTCCCCGCCCTCCGGGCTCTGCCTATGGTGGATGTTTCTGGAATTCCTGGAGAGGCAAGCACCCACACCCACACCCACGCCCACACCCACACCCACGCGCGTGTGCACACGCACACACACCCATCCCTAAAGCAGGGGAAGAGTGGGGCCATGCCGATTTTAGGACAAGTTTTTTTTTTTGGATGAACAGACCCTCAGGGACCCCTTACTTCCGGAAGGGGTGGCCTTGTTCTGCTGAGGTCACTTCTGTCAACTGTCATGGAAGGTCACTCGAGCCCGCGTGTGGCTCACAGCCTCGTCACTAAACACACGCAACTGTCAGTCACCAGCCAGGCCGCGGGACCAACCAGGCGGGGCCCGCAGCACGGCCACATCACACCGGTGGGCGTGCCCGTCTGCTCAGGGAGAAGCAAGTGTTTTAGACACAGTCAAGGATGCCAATTTCTTTTTTTTTTTTTTTCCAAAGATTGATTGATTTGAAAGAGAGAATCTTCCATTGGTTCACCCCCCAGGTGGCCACAACAGCTGGAGCTACGTCAATCCGAAGCCAGGAGCCAGGAGCTGCTTCCGGGTCTCCCACGCCGGTGCAGGGGCCCAAGCATCTGGGCCATCTTCCACTGCTTTCCCAGGCCACAGCAGGGAGCTGGATGGGAAGTGGAGCAGCCGGGACACGAACCGAGGCCTATGGGATGCCGGCGCCGCAGGTACCCGCTACACCACAGCGCCGGCCCCAGACGATGCGCATTTTCAGAAAGCCTGGAGCTGCCAGGCTTCTTTCTCCTCCAGGGCCTGACCGGGGGGCCTGGGAGAAAGGGAATGTCATGTGATGAATCCACAGCCACGGTACGTGGCCCGACACAGACCCACGGGATCACGGTCAGGAGCATGGAGGCTCTGCTTAGGTGCTTTGTTAGCGCCTGCTTGGCTCAGCTGTGTGACGCGGGCTCCTTGCTTTCCCTCTCTGAGCCCCGCCACCCCAGTACACGCGGTGCATGAGGGCAGCTGGAGTCTGGGAGGACGAAGGAGCTGGGCAGCGCGCCTGTTCAGCTGGGGCCTGGCGAGCAGCACAAGGGGAGGGGCTTGGGGGCAGGGGCTGAGTGCTGCGTTCCTCCCTTGATGGTGGCACCCAAGGGCCTCTGCAGGGAGCGGCTCAGGGACGGCCTTGCACGGAGACAAGTCACAGGGGGAGCTGCTAGCGGCCCCAGCCCTTTCCGGAGGTCACTGTCCCCTCACTGAGAAAGGGTGAGGTGGTGAGAGGCCGCCTGTGCGGAGAAGGGCACAGGAGGGCTGCAGGGTGATGGCCGTGAGGGAGACCTGGAGACGCCCAGGGAGAAGGCGGGCGGGGGCAGGGCCCTGCCAGGAGCTCCCACCCAGGCCTCGGGGCGGTGCCTGCGGAGGTGCTGCCCCTGCCTCCCCCCACCCCGCCCCAAGATTGATTTGAAAAGCAGAGTTAGGGGGAGACAGGGAGCTGCCCCCCACTGGCTCATTCCCCAAGCGACTCCAGGGGCCAGGCTGAAGCCAGGAGTCTGAAGCTCCTCCTGGGTCCCATGGGGGCGACAGGGACCCGAGCACTTGGGCCGTCCTCCGCTGCTCTCCCAGGCGCATTAGCAGGGAGCTGGATCGGAAGTGGAGCAGCCGGGACTCAGACTGGAGCCCCTACGGGATGCCGGCGTCACAGGCAGGCGGTGGTTTGACCCGCGACGGCACAGCGCTGGCCCGGCTCCTCCCTCTAACAGAGGGGCTGGACTTGGCTGTTGTGGGTCCGATGGTCTGTGGCAAGGGCAGTGGGGTCTGGGAGAGGTCACCTCTCTGTGATGGCTGCCGGGCGGCGGCCCCACACTGGTTCCTAGGAGCAGGGCCCCTTCCCCAGGGCGAGGGGTCTCAAGATGGCAGCCGTGGGGCTGTGTGGTGGGCGGGAGCGTGCGCTGCCCATGAGGCAGCCGGATGAGCATCTGGAAGAAATCAAGCGAGTTTCTGTGCCCCGCTCTGCACGCCTGGAACGGCTCCCAGATTCCGAACGATCAAGGAGCAAAATGTACAGGAGAATCCCCTGAGACGTAGCTGGGAGCACTGGAGGGATGCACACCAGCCTGGAGAGAAACTCAGTTATGGGAATGAGAGAGTTTATGGCCAAACTAACAGAAGACTCCACCAAAAAAATAAAAAAATTCCCCCAAAACCACAAAATCCCAAGCAAATTCAAGATAAACAACAAACCGGGAAATACATTTGCAAGCCGCGTTACAAGGGGAGGTAACGTCCCTCATATATAAACAGCACCTACAAATAAATAAGAGGGAAAACCCAGGGAGACGGGCATTTCGCAGACAGGAAAATGCAATGGCATTTAAACACCTGGAGACACTTCCACTACATGGAAGACGACGGAAATGACTGAGGGTCTCGGAAGTCAGGCTGGCAGAGGTTACGATCTGATGGCGTTCTGGGTACAATTTGGAAGGAACAGGCCTCGGGCACGGCTGGTGGGACCCGACCTCTGCGGGCCGGGCCGACACGCCCGGGAGAGAAATGGTGACCACGCAAGGTGACTCACCGTGGGGATGGCAAGAGGTGGTGAGCGCCAGGGCGCAGAGCGGGGCTCCCCGAGGGGCGTGGGGCTGTCAAGATAGGAAGGCAGCTGCGGGCAGAGGCCGAGGTGTGCCGCACCTGTGTGGGCAGGAAGGGCCTGGCAGGGCCCTGGAAGGAGCCCGGGAGCCCTGGACACGGCTGGGGTGCCCGTGTGCTTGACGTGGTACCTTTCAGAACTGGCTGCCTGCTAGTTGCAGGTGCAGTTAGAATCGGGACTGGGAGTCCACTCGAAGAACTGGGCCCCGTTTCTTTGGAAAAACGACCCCGCGGCTCCGGAGGGGCCCGCGCCCTGAGCGCTCCTGGCGCCCAGCTCACTTCGCTGGTCTCCACCTGCTCGGCCGCTGCGTGCACTTGCGTGGGAGGCAGGCGCTCAGACCAGAGGCCATGGGCACGGCGTGTGTGAGGAGTGGAGGACGGCACCCGTGTGGTGGCCGCCATCGCAGCAGTGGCCATATCACCGCCACCACATTGCCTGAGGACAGAGGACAGGGTCGCGCTGCACAGCGTGTGCTGTCTGAGGTCGGACGTCGGCGGACAGCTGCAGGCCGGCAGCCCCCATGAAGACAATGCAAAGTCAACAAGACGCGAGCACTCGGGACCCAGCCACACGTCAAATGGATCTGCACCGCAACCGAGCCGGCCGTCTCCCAGGAGCGCGGGTTGGTTGAACCTCCGAACGTCATCACCGGAACACGCGCCTGATGAAGACTAAACCGCAGGTCATCTCAAGAGGTGAAGACAAGCAGCCGTCAACACGTCCAGATGCCCCCCGCCACCTTCCCGGCGCTGCCGCTGGCTCTGGACGTGTCCTGCTGGCCCGGCAGCCCAGGGCGGCCAGGGAACTTCCTGCCCACCCCACGGCCCCGTGCTCGGGAGCGTGGCCAGCGCAGGCCCCGGCGGAGTTCACACGTGTCCTGGGCTCCCCCCACGTGTCCTGCGGGTTCAGAAGCGGCAGTGCAGCCCAGGCCCGCAGGCAGCTGGGCACAGGTGGGGGCTGTGGGGGTGAGGCCGAGCTGCTGGGACTCGTGGCAGCGCGTGCTTGGTGGCCAACCACGGTGCTGTGCTCAGAAGTGCTGGGGACAGATGTGCTGGGTGCCCGCCCAGCCTCCGCAGGGCCCCAGGGCGAGGCTCTGCCCGGAGGCTCCGGCGGTGCCATCAGCAGCCCCCTTCTGGAGGAGCCAGGCCCCAGGGGCTGGGGAGGGAGGCGCCCAGAGCTGGGACAGGGGTGCCACGCAGGAGCCGGGCGGTCAGGCCAGGTCGGGCCAGGTCAGGCGTGTTCCCCTTGCCCTCTGTCACAGGCTCAGCTCACACAGGTCACCACCGCGTGCAGGCAGGGAGGGGGCTGTCATGTGGGGAGGGGGCGGTCTCCGGCAGCTGTCGGGGGCACACACGTGACTGGCGGCTTTCCCATAGCCAGCGAGGTTTGTGAGCAGCGGTAGCCGCTGTGCGTGTGGGGCCCACGCAGGGCACAAGGTTCTGCTGAAGAGGGTGGCGTCCTCCTGAGTGTGGCGTGGAGTCTGTTTCCGGCATTGGGTGGTGCAGGCTCCTGGACGCCCTAACCCCCGGGGACTGGCTGACGGGCTCTGCCCCCCACCCCTGCCCCCCGCCTCCCAGACTGGTTCAGGGTGGCCCAGCTCCAGGTCCTAGGTGACTGGGAGGCACCCACACACCCCAGGGCGCCTAGGAGGAAGGGGAGCCGGTGGGAGACGGGAGGGGCAGGCAGGACCTGCACCCTCGCTGCCCCGGAGCAGTGCCGCCCCCACAGCTGCCCGTCCCCTGCCTCCTAAGCTGGGCTCCTGCCCCTCTTGTTAGAAAAGGGGCCGGAGGCTGGGGGAAGCCAGCTGAGCGGTGCGGGGCGCAGACGTCCTGACCTGCACGGCGGCCAGAGCCCAGGTTGGGCTCAACCGTGCGTGTGGCGACAGGGACGCTGAGAGCACCTCCCCCCCCACCCCCCCCCCGGGCCTTCTAGTGTGTGCGGGGCCTGCCCGGAGCTTCCTTCACAGAGTGAGTGTCCAGCTTGCAGCCCTGGGCACGTGACAGGTCTCGTCTGTCTGGTGCTACTTCCTGGGTCTCTTCAGGAACGGCCAATGAAGGCTTTCCTTTGTCTAAAAGGAGGGGAGGGAGGATGGGCGCGCAAGACCATAAAGCCGCTGCTTGGCCGCCGTGGGACGAAGGTGGCAGGGTGGCAGGGTGCGTGGAGGGAAGGTGGAGCAAGTCCTGCGGGCTGGCTGGGACCCAGGCCCGCACGCTTTCCCCATCACTGCGGGGCAGGCGGAGCTCGGAGCTCAGCAGGCTCCGCCTTCGCCAAGCCAAGGCTGCGGTGGCGTGGTCGTGGCCACAAGTATCCAGGTCGGGGGAGCTGCTTCCCCTCGCAGCCGGGATCCTGGATGTGTCTGAGCGCCTGGGCCTGGAGCCGGTATTTCCTGGACAGGGGTCTCGGGGAGGGACCGGGCAGGGTTGCGATCCTAGGGCCCTACAGCTACATCCGGGAACTGCAGCTGGGAGGCACGGAGGCCCCCTCCGTAGAGGGCAGGGCGTGGACGTCTCAGGCGCCACCCACCCCTGGGGTGCCCATGCTGCCTCTGGTACCTGAGGGCCGAGTCAGTCCTGGGGTGCCCACGCTGCCTCTGGTACCTGAGTGCCGAGTCAGTCCTGCAGCTGTTGCCCCCCGCGGCCCCCAAGCCCAGGTCTTTCGAGTCCTGCTCCAGGTACACAGCTGTCGGTCCGCACCAGCTGACCTGGCGCCACCAGCGTCCAGACAGCGTCCAGCTCGCTGGACGGATGAAGACACGGATAAAGGCACGGCAAGGTTTTTACCACAAGGACTAGTGTAGGTTTGCGAGGGCCTACAGAGGCCCATCTTGTCCAGGAGCGCGCGCACTGCCGGTGTGCCGACATTGTTTGGGCACCTGTCTTGCGCCTGACTCTGGGCCTTCTTTGGCCAGAGCACCCTCACGGTCTCCAGTTTGGCTACAGCCGACTTTGTCATGTGCAGACTTCCCAACACAAACCCCACTACATTCGAGTTGCTGGGGCTTTCCCAGTTGTTACTTAAAAGGAACAAGGTGACGGGAAGTCGCAGGATACAAAGGATCACCCACCTGTGGCACCGTTCACATCTGACTTCCAAGTCAACCTCCCAGTAGTCAGAAGAAACAGTTTTCAAACTCGGACGCACTGTCAGCGCTTCTCAGCTGGGACGGTGTTCGGGTTGACCTCGGGGTGGCCAGCTGATCGCCGAACGCCATTTAAGGGCAGAAGCAGCCTTTTAGTTCTGCTCTTCTGGGGAGTCAGCCTTTAGTGTCCCCCACATGACACAGCCAAACACGCCTGCAGCAGGTGCGGCAGAAGTCAGGGTCACCTCGCGCGTGCCGTCACGTTCCTTAGGAGAGTGGTTCCCGTCGCTCAGGCCAAGTGGATCTCAGTGGCTTGGAGCCATCTGGTGAGGGTCTTGGGGACCCACCTGGAGGGGTCAGTGCCAGCAGCCCGAGGTCGAGGTCAAGAATTGCTCTTCTGGTGGTCTTGGCAAGGCAGCGTACCCACTTCTGGTTTTGGAAGAGGTCTCCCCAGTCTTCAACACATCCAGTTTTGAACTTTGTTTACTTCTCACACTGGCTCTTGACAATGCACAGGCACGTGGCTCACACAGCCAACGCCAAGACGTTGAAGGGGCAGACGCTTCCCTGCGTGCGTCTCGGCGGGGACAGACTTCTCCCTGTGCTGCGGGATGGTGGAGGAACACGTCCACCCATCCACACGCCCACGAGGCAGGGGAACCACAGCCCTGGTCATTGGCCTGACCTGAATGCTTTGTTCAGGAAAATTTCGGCAGCAAAGACTAGTCCTCTGGGACAACTAGGGGTTTTCTTATTACAGCACAAATCCCAGAAACGTCCGGCTCAGCCACAGGGGTCCTCTAGGGGAGGGGCGGAGGGCGCGGCTTCCGAGCTAAATCCTCTCCAGATCATCCCTAAAGCAAAGAGGAGCAACACCACTCTTCTTAAATGCTTTTATTGAGACACTTTTAGGGCTTCTGTAACATTTGCAGCAGGGAATTTTTTAAACTTCCAACTCTTTTAGGTGGCTAAACCCTTCTTACTGTCAGAAAGGCAAAAGCCACCACCACAGCAAGGAAGCTCACCTGTCCGCTCAGATGCCCGACTAAGACCCCAGACGCCCACTCAGCCAAGTTCTGCCCTGCCACGTTGGACCCTGAAGTCTCTCACCCAGCCAGAACCACCCCCAAACGTAACAGCCGGAACTCCGCCATCCCGACTCGGCCATTGTACCGTGCACCCTCACCGCGGCACACCCCTTCCTACACTTCAGCTGGTGCACTAAGAATCTGCAAGCTGCCTGTGCGGTAGACGTGAAACGGCTCCGTAAAACAGGCCCAGGGCCTACACAGTCCAGCCCATCCTCGCACTCCCTGCGGCCTGTCTTGGCAGCGTCACACGCGAGGCAGAGGGCGGTCAGAGCTCCCCTCTCGGGTACCAAGTCTTAGAACTCGGGGACCCAACCGCGTCAGGCTGCCGCGGGCCCAAGTCCCTAAGAGGGCCCGACCGACCTGCACGGACGAGGGCACCTCACTAACCTGGCGGCTGGGCGCTGCCGCTCTGCAAACTTGTGCTTTCAGCTGCCCTCCTCTTGGGAGTCTGCAGTCTACGGGCCACCAGCTCCTTCCGCCTGACCGCCCTCTACACGCGTGGTCTCCAGCCTTTCTCTCACCAGCCAGACGGTCAAGCCCTAGAACAGGGGCAGAGCGGCTGCCTTTGAGTCCAGCTGCTCCCACCTAAGGTGAAAAGTAACATCGATTCATCCAAAGAAAGACCACCGGGCCACGAGACTGCTCGCCAGGCTGCGCCTTCACAAAAGGGAACGGAGAAGCTCAAGGATGCTTTTTCAGTTCAAAGGCAAAAAAAAACCCCTACAGACCCCAAAGAATTTGTAACAGGTGCCTTGAGACAAAGGGCAGATCTTGGTTTTCTACAGGTTTCCTCCGTGCTGTGATGGACACAGGGCCATCATGTGTAATGAAGCGAATGTTTACATTAAGCACAATACAGCAATTTATTTAGATGCTTAAAATGAATACAAAGGGAAATAAAGATCACAAAATTATACATACTACAACAGTGTGTCATATATTAGATGGCATAAATGAATACACCAGAGTGGTGTTTAACTAAAGATAAAACTAAATATCCAAAATGCAGCTCTCGTCGGTTTGCTGCTTCAACACAACACACTTTTATACAGATCTGAAAGGTGTCCAAATTAGTCGCTGAAGTCAATGCTTCCATGTGATTTTAGCTTAAAAGATTTCAGAAAACAGATCTGAAATACCAGCTGTAATGTCAAGGATATTTAGAACAAGAAAAATCCTATAATACAAGAGAGTCCAGATATATATCTTACGTGGCTGGCCTCTGTTGCAAGATTGTACAAGGTTATGTGCAAAAAACTAAGTCTGTCCAAAGTCCATACTAGCGCAGGTTCAAGCTTTTGCTAGAGAAACTAGATACAGCGTTTATTACACAGCAAGGGCAGCACTAAAAAAAAACAAAAACAGAAACAGAAACAAAACAAAGCTATGATGGGCACACAGTAACAATATCATATGCATCACTTGAGTGGGTCTAAAAGACTGTACAAATATACATTGCAACTATTCAGAATGAATACATGAAAAAGAGCGGACTTCCCCAAGTCTGCTGTACACACTGGACTGGCGGCGCCTCCCTGGCCCTGCACTACCACGTGGGCAGGGAGCTGCCTCTCAAGGACACCCAACCATTCAACGCGGGAGGGAACCGTGAGGAGGCAGCAGGACCAACCTCTGCTTTCCCTCCTGTGCAGCGCGAGCCACCAGCTTCCCGGTTTTCACATTTAGTTACTGTGTCTGTCAGAGAAGGTTCCGGAGCAATCCTCAGCTGCTCACGTGTCAGACGTAGACACAGCCACTGAGACCGCAGCGGCCACACGTCCCCACTGCCTGCTGGCCAGTACTCACGTGGCAGCCTTGCACCGGTACTGAGGAGCGCGGAGTTGCGGCCGCGGCACGTCCGTGACGCCGGGGAGCCCGGCGCTCAGGCCTGCTGGCTGCTCAGCTCCACGCCAGCCAGGCCGCCGTGCATGGCCTCGGCTACTCCGTCAGCCATGTTGTCAAACTGTTCCCCATCCTCACTGTCAATCGTGCTGTTCTGCCACTCGATCTGGGGGCTGGATAAGCGCTCGTCGTTCTCAGCCGTGCTCTTCCACTGTGACTGGTCCTTGGACCAAAATCCTTCCACTTTTCCATAGGAACTATTCTTCCATTTCAACTGCTCTCTGTCGCCGTGCACGGGAGCCTTTTTTTTGGCAGCTGGCTTACTGCTCCTCGCATCTTCACTTTGGGAAGACTCGTCAGACCAGGTTCCCGGCTTCCCTTCGCACGTGTTGTCCTCCGAGTCCGAGCCCTGCTGGGAGCCAGGCCCACTCTCGCACGGAGACGCTCCGTCTTTCCACTCCACGACGTCGTCTTGCTCCAGCTCACTGTCGGAAGCCTCGGGCGGGAGTCTGGCCGGGGCCTCAGGCCCGTGAAGAGCTGCGTACTTGGAGTCCCCCTGCTCTTTTTGGTCCAGCTTGCCCTCCGCTCCTAAAGCGTCCTCCGGCATCCCCTTCGGTCCATGCTCCTCTGGGTTATCGTGGGGGATTTTAGGCTCAACTTCAAACACGGGGTCGAAAGGGCTGCCGCTGCCGTCGGACTCCTCCTCCAGGTTCTCAAGGCTGTCGGAGGAGCTGTCGGCGTCCTTGCCGGGGCGGGGCTTCTTCTCGGCTGTCTTGCTGGCACCGACTCGGGAATCCTTCTCATCATGGTTCTCAAACAGCCACTCGGCGTCAAAGTCCATCTCGTGTTTGACTTTGTTTAATTCTTTCATGTTGAAGCCCAGCAGCACACCAGGCTTGTATTTTTCACAATCACGGACACACTTCTTCCTTTTGTTACTAAAATGGGAGGCAATGTCGCTTTTCCACAGCCATAGACTGGCCGCCAGCTTTTCGATCTCCCGCCGGGTGGGGTAGGGCTGCTTATTGAAATACTTCGTTAGGAAACTCTTCCTGGCTTCGTAGGAATCATCTTCGTGACCCTTGGGGTCTAAAGCTAAGACAACAGGCTCCTCTGGCTTCTCCTCAAAGAAGCTGGGCGAATCGCTGTCCTCCTCCAACTTCCGCTTTTTCAGCAAGGGAAACTCCATCTGCTCGTAGGTGCGCTTCACGGGCGCCAGCCCGGGAGACTGATTCAGCCGGGAGGGTGCGTTGGCCTTGTCCTGGCCGTTCTGGGTCTTCCCGACGCCCCTGCAGTGAACCAGATGCAGAGTGATGGTGGAGGCCGTCATGTTGCTGGTGTACACACCCAGGCAATGGATGCACTTGTAGGTGAGCTTCTTTTCCACCGGATGGACCGTCTGGATGACCTGGTGCCTCTCCCGCAAGTGATGTGCCAGTGCGTCAGATATGGGCCCTTTCAGGATGGAGAAGCAGAGAGGGCAAAGGGTTTTCCCGACATCCTTCTTGTAGGGCACTGCCGCTTGAGGCGAACTTTTGACAGGGATGTCTGCCTTCTCCTGGACTTTTGGCTGCGGCTTTGGAGGAACTGGAGGATTATTTTGGGCGTGGTAAGCGACAGACTCGGCGGGGGCGTCCCTCAGGTTGTACGTGGTCACCAGGAGGTGGATGTTAGTGTGGCTGCCCTGCTGTAAGGTCAGATCAAAGCTCAAGGTAGAATCCGTCTTGGGCCCCATCTCCTCATCGATGTGAACCATCCGCATGTGCGCCGCCATCTTCTCCACGTCGTTGAAAGTCGAGCGGCAGTAGGGGCAGGACAGACCATGAATGAGCATGTGGTTGAGCAAGGTGTCTGTGGGCAAATAGCGGTTACAGTAGAGGCATTTGCTAGTGAAGTTGTGTATTTTCATAATGTAGTTGGCCACTGCGGGGACCTTCTCGGCTTTGTGTTCTTTCTCGAAGTGCACGCTGTAGACGTTTTCAGGAAAGAGCTCATTGCAGATCGTACAGATTTTCCACTTCTGAGTTGAGGACGTGTTGGCTGGGGGAGGGCCTGTGGCAGCTGCAGTGGGCTTGGAGCTGGACTGGCCTAACACTCGGGAGGCCTGTGACTGGGAGAGGGAGGGAGACTTCAACTGGCCCGACGAGAGCGAGGCGGCGGCGTTAGGGGGCTGCAGGGAGTAGCGTGCTGGGGCCTGGGACCTCTGCTCCGACCCGAGCCCGTAAGATCTGCCATTGCCACTCGGGAGTAACTGCTTCACAGACTGGGACTGCTGAGGGACGGACACTGGCGCGTTGCCACTGAGACCCAGCCTCATCGACTGACCCACGCCGTAGCCCTGGCCTACAGACTTGACCCCATAGTTGTTCTGCTGCAGGTGAACGTTCGACAGCATGTTGACTCCTGTAGAATTTAAATTAGGCTTTGGTATTGAGAGTCGATTCACCATCTGCTGGGATGGTAAAGACCGGACGTTTCCAGAAGCAAGGGAACCAATTCTTGGGGGGAGTCCCATGCCCTTCTTCTCCTGAGGCTTGGGGGCGATCAGCATCAAGGGCTTAGCTCGGGGAACCACCACATTTGTGTGTCCGATCATGGCAGTGACCTGATAGCCTATCCGCTCGTGGTCTTCGATGACATGCTGCACCAAAGCCTCGTAGGACTTGGGCATGAAAAGGCATCGCTTGCAGTGGATACTGCACTCCTCGCGGGCACTCGCGCCGAGGGGCACTGCGCCGTTGAGCGACTTTTCTCCGGCCTTGGCTATGTAGGGCGCTGCCACGTGCTGAAAATGTTCCCGGTATATGTGCTTCCTGACGACCTCGTACAGAGGGTCTCGGTAAGTGCACTTCTTGCAGTAATAGACAGCCTGCTCTACACTGTCAGCCTGCTTGGGTTTAAGGCCATCGTTTTTGTTTTTATCTTTGAAAGTGCTGAGGCTGCTACTTGGTGCGCTGGCGTTGGGAGCATGAAATATTTTAATGTGTGTTTCCAAAGTCTTTTTGTCGGCATTGAAGGTACAGTAGGGGCAATTGAGGAGAATCCTATTTTCGAAGTCTTCGCTATGGACATTCCGGAAGTGACTTTTGTAGGCAGAGAAGAATTTTGAGGAAAACGGGCAAGCACTGCAGCAGAAGGGTTTTGTCCGATAGTCCTGGGGAGAGCACACACACCCATCAGTGGCACTGCACCAGGCACCCCCGCCCCGCTCAGAATGCTATTTTTAGAACAAACTCCGATTTCAACAATTTTTTTCCTTTTACAAATAAATTTATGAGACAGAAATTCAAATGAAAAAGCTGTGCTAAATGATTATTTTTGGGTCAGTGTAAATTAATTCAATGCTAAGGTCTTTCCCAATGTTTAGAAAAGACTCAGGTCACATCTGTTGATGGGTTTTGGATGGACTGAAGCCAGCTAACTTCAAGATAAACATTTTCACTTGAATAACACAAAATTCTGTGAAATCATTTTCACTTCACGAATCTGGAATCTTTAAAGGCTTCAGACTTCTCTGTACAGAGGAGTCCAGGCCCAGTGTTTTTACGCAACTAGACAAGAGCAGAAGACGGAACTTACCTTTCCCCTCCTGGAAAGACTTTCACAGGGAAAAACAAACTTCAACCCAATTTTACTCTGATCCAGGGGGGACACTACTCAGGTCTCCCTGCTGCTGAAGGAACTACGGATCTGGAGGGTCCGCTTCCTGCTGGGAGACCACGTCCCTCTCCGAGCGGCAAGACCAGCCTCGGCAGTTAGGGAGGGGGCAGCTGCTTTGACACAGGTTAGGTAAAAAGGTCGTCGTCCTACAAACCGTGAGGGGCGCACTGGTTTTAAAAGCCAACAACGCGCTGCAGAATCTGCGGACGCCTAGAGCCGCTCTGAGCGGCAGTCGTGCGGCCGCCGTCCCCAGCCGATGACAAGTCAATGTGACAGACTCAGATCTCCTCTTCTCCTGAACACCTGCTGCAGACACTGGTTTCAACCAAAATCTAGGGGTTCTGCATCTGCGGGCTCAACCAACCACAGATGGAAAATACTTGGGGAAAAAATTGTCTGTGCTGAACACAGAACCTTTCTTCTTTCCGCCCCAAATCCCTTGAGGGTACTCCCTGCTCGCCCGTGCGACAACGCTAACACAGCACCTGCACTGTTAGAGAGTCTGCGTAATTCAGAGATGGCCAAAATGCACAGGAGGGTGTGCACATCCAGGTACCCTTAGGGGTCCTAGAACCCGTCCTCTTCCTGCAGTACTGCTGCTACGAAGTTATCAGATTCATAAAACTGACTTAAATAGAAGTTTCTGAGAACGCTACTTTTAGTAAGGCCCGCCTCAAATCTTCCAGGTTGAGTTTAAAAGGAGCCACTCCCTGCCAAGCACATTCCAACCCGCTGAGGAGACACTGATGCGGCATCAGCGCCACTGGAACAGGTGCTGGCGACACGGACCTGCCACGCGCTGCTCCTCACGGACAACGCAGCACCACTCACACTCCCTCTACCTCCAGCCACACATGCTCGCCGCTACTGCCTACTGATGTTTTTAAGGCCAACCTGTGAAGTTATCTCTGTTGCCACCATCCTACAGACTTCACCCACCCACATCTCCCAGAGGCTGGGTGCCATCAACATAAGAAGTTAAGAAAACCCGAGTCTGGCCCTGCTATCCGAAAGCAGGAACAGAGATGCTTGGAACCTGGGTAAACAACTCAGCAGAGGGCTCTGGGGGACGGGCCAAGCAGCCCCCCGAGCTTTTCAGTAACAAAATTTCCTTTTCTTCTTCTTACACCTCAAGTTTCAGTCCAATGACAAAAAAAAGTGTGCAGAATGGAAATATGGAATGTTGACATTTCTTACACCAAACGGCTCACCATGACTGGCCGAGAGCTAAGGGGAGATGAGCCGGACACAGAGACACTCAGGGCCCCCACACCACTGCTAAGAGGGAGATGAGCCGGACACAGACACTCAGGGCCCCCACACCACTCACCTGGTTTTTTGTAAGCGAAGGGTCCCACAGTCCTACATCCTCCCATGTAGTGTTTTTCAAATAAAAATCATTAGGTTCAAACTGTTTAAAATCCTAGAAAACAGTGAAAGAAGTTTACAAAAACATAATGGTATCAACTCCAGCCCAAGCTTACATATAAATTGTTACCTTTTTACTAGAGTTGAGGAGAGCACAGGAAAACCAACCCCATTAAGATCTAAACTAGGAATAATAAGGCTCTTAGGCAAGACAAAAGGGCACCTGGAAATTAAATTACACTGAACATTTTTTATCAGCCCAACAGTACCCGGATGGTCAGCCAGGTTTCCAAGGAAACCACTGGGAATTCTAATGAACTAGAAAGTCCGGTCACATACATATTAGTACCAAAGCAGTTTTCTTAGAGTACTGTAACTCATCAGCGATAGTACTGCAATGGAGTCTTAAGAAACGTTCGTTTATGGTTCTGCAGATGTGTCCAGTTCTGCAAAAAAAGATTTTTTGAGGGAGAGGGGCCAGAGATTGGATTGGAAAGAAAATTCAGGATTTTTGAACCCAAAAAGGAGGAAAGAAAGCTATTCAAAGAAAGCAAGCAACGTGATGTTAAATTTGCACTCTTATGTAAAACGCTAACACAGCCCCTTTCCCCTTAGACTAGGAAGATAAAAAGTCTTAGGATAAAAATTCTTGCTCCTCAACGGTTCAGTCTGAGGGGGATCAAGCACACATCAGTCCGCAGTCTGTAACGAGTGTCGTGAGAGTTTGAACAAAGCCTGTGCAGGACGGAAGGCACCTGAGCACCTGTGAGATTAGCTCCCGTGAAGAGGGCCCCACCGAACATGCAGCGAACAGACCGCTGCATGGGGCAGAGCTGCCCTCACCGTGGGCTTGGGGAGGGGCAGCCTGCATGCTGGGGACGACCTAACTAGAAGCTCACCCCGAGGAGCTTCGTCTTCACTCTGTACCCCTAGAGTGTCAGTGGGACTCAGGAAAAGAAAGACCACTGCTTACTGAATTTTTGTTTTTGTTCCTTTACTTCCATTCCAGTCAAACATTTACTGAGCACCTATTTTGTGCCAAACACTGTGCTATAGGTGCTGGGGACAAATGGATGAACAAGGCAGCCATGGTCCTTGGCCAGCTAGGATTTAAAGGTTAGCACGGAAATGGCATTCACTGTGTTTTTTCAACCAGAGGCTCTGACCACCTAACTGTAAGACTTGGAGCACTGAGACCTGGAAGGGAGGAACTCACTGCTCTGGTTATGCCCTCGCCCAGGGGCTATTATAAAGCTCTTAGAATAAAAAGGCAGGAGAAACAGTGTAAGGCCAACTGTTAAACAAGGGGAAGACAGTAGTCACTGATGGGTAAAAAGGGCCAACAAACGCTCAAATCCCAAGGAAAGAGACGACAAGCAGTCAAGTAACCATGCCTCAACAGTTAGACGGCCAACAGCACCCTCAGGCCTCTCAAGGAGAACAGGCCTGGAGCCCCACAGACACCACCGCTCCCTCCGTCTTGAGGCCAGACCTAGTCCCTGACTCATCTTTCATCTGTAGAGTGGAGGTTAAGAATTCCCACTGCCCCTCGAAAGTCGTTAAGAACAAAGGGAGAGGCCAGTAAAGCGCCCAGGTTCAATGTCTGACAAGCGTAAGCCCTCAACGGCAGCTGCTGTTGCTTCAGGATGCAAAGACGGAAAAGCCCCTTCGGGGTGAAGGGAAGAAGTTTACGCTAACTGAGAAGGCGCTGGCGAAGCTAACGCTGTGGTTACAATTTAGAATCACACCGAAGAATTATCCATCCTCGTGCTGACACAAAGTAATGGACCAGAAGCTGAGTCATGTTAAAATTTAAAAATGACATGCTACTTACTTCTATATGTTCTTTACAGTATTCCAACCCAATGTCACTAAGTATTTTTTTCACAGTTTTCCGGGCTTTTCTTAAACTGCCAAGATTGTTGACAGGAAGTTGGAACATAGTTTCTATTGGAAAAAAAAATTTAAGTCAAAGTCAAAACATGTACAACTTGTAATATTTACTAAATCCACTGATGACAGGATCACAAACCCTGGCCCCAACTACAAAAAGGTGAATAGATATCCTTATCTAGTGTATTCTGAATACTCAAAGCAGACAGGCAAAAATAAGTTCTCTCTGATTTTTTTTCTGAATGGGACATTTTTATATTAATCAACTATGAGTCTAATCTGGCACAATTCAGCTTAGACTTAAAAAAAAAAAACAGTTCAGTGATAAAGTTGAGAATGAGGGAAATAATACCAACCAATTATTTTTAAGTCAAGTGTGAGTGCGTTATTGCTTGTGATGTTGAACCTCTGAGAACAGGAAACGCTCACCATTGCAGCATTGTCACCACACTGAGTGCCAGGGAGCTCCTGCTGCCGGCAATACCCCTGCCACTGCTCTGGTGTTCTTCAGGGAGCACGCCTGCTATCTCTGTGCACCCCAAGTCAATGGCATGATGGCTGAGAGGACTCACCCCCCGACAGCTGGCAGCACATCTCAACAAGGCACTGACTGCTGAGAGGGGAGAAGGTGGGCACTGGGCATCAGAGCAAATGGTAACTCTTACAGGCTTCAGGGCATCCATCAGAAAAATGAAAAGCCCTTGCGTGTGTATGGGAATGGAACAACTGTGATGAGTTAACACATTAAAATCAAACTCAGATCCACTTCCCCAAGTTCCTTAAAAACAAAGGGCTGTATTTAGTAAGAAGACAAAATTACTGTTTCGGGCAACTGAGAATTTGTATGCCTTCCAATGTGACCCTAAATCCTTCTGTAAAATATGCTTCAGAATGTCTTCAATTTAATAGTCCAAATTCAAAATAGTTTTGCAGAATAAAGTAGCTCTAAAATTCAAAACAGCAAAACCAAAATCCAAAGCAACCAGGAATTAAAATTTAATATATGCAAATCTTATCTGCCAATTAGTTAAGGTGGTTACTACTACCAGTTTTACCTGCAAGTTAACTAATCCAAATGTAATGTTGTCTCACTTATTATCCTAATCTAAAAATTAATGTTAACTAATGAAAAATGAAAAAACAGAGAAAAAAAGAGTCCCTCGCACCAAAGCAAAGAGCGGCTCCCAGCAGTGCTCAGCCGGGGGTCCTGCCTGGGACCCCTGCAGCAGCCGAGAAGGGAGCTCCCTGGCCTCCGCTCGGGCTGGACTTCTGTGAGCTCTGAAGCAGCGCTGCAGGCGGCCCTGCTCTGCACACGCCATCACACCCCGCTTCCCAGACAAACCCCTGCACTGAAAGCCAAGCCATTCTTCACGGACGTTTTATTGCTAAATTGTTTTAAACCATCTTTTCAGTGGTTTAAAACAAGACTTTTCAGTTGTTGACACAAACTCGGTCTTTTTCAGAACTGCCCGATTAAAAAAAAGACTAGAAACACAGAGGCATCCTTCAGGCTAATTCTGAGCACAGCCTCTCAAGTCTGAGGAGTCCACTATCCATCTCTCTTCCCTTCAAACCGCCCTGTGGGCCAAAACCCAGCCATTCAGGAACTTCCCGAAGTAAGCCCGCCTCACTTCAGAAGCAGCCGGGACTGGTTTCCCTGCCCGCCTGGCAGAACCAAGGCACACAGGTGTGTGAATGTGGCCACCAGCCTGTCCCTGCAGCTCGGGGGGAGGAGAGCCCACTCTCAGTGCCTGCCCACGGCCACGGTCATTCTAGGATCCCGGTGAAGCACACCTTGGCGCCTGGGGGAGCCCCCCGAGCCAAGCACGGTTCTCAGGAGCTCGGCAGCAGGACGCGTGCACTTCAGAAGTGGCACAGGGTCGACTTCCGAGTGTACTTATCCACACTGAATTAAAAAGGCTCGTTAACAAAATAAGCATGACTGCTTATTGGAAAACGCTGTATATAAAAGGTTATTTTTCTTCTATGCTTAGTAACCGGAAGAACCCATGCTCAGGTTTTAACTGGAAGATGTAGAAGTCCTACGACTATGAGCGTATCGCGGACATTTCTAATGACCCTGGGAATTCAGTGATCTGCCCCTCTCCCCAGATGGAGGCGCCCTCAGTGACCTGTTTACGGAAGCTTTTTCTAACCAAGACTCTGTCCGTCTGCAGCTTGTCTTCGCATCCTCAACGTTAAGCACTTACGCACTTCTCTGGCTGCTGGCTCTAAATGACATGCTTTTCTTAGTAGACAACAGGACAGCACAGGAACAGATGCAAGGAAGCTTCCTCCCCACCCCTCTCCTCGGCCTCGCAGCGCTTCCCAGACGGCTGACCCCGTCCGGTCCTCAAGGGCAGTGCCCAGGCATTTCTATGCACCACGCCAGACAGTTCCTTGGAACCAAGTCTCCGCCACACTCCACCAGCCCACGCTGGGATTATCTGAGTGACAAGCCAGAACACAAGGGCCTACAGCTGTTCCCAAGAGTTACACATTCACATCAATACCTGGCTCCAAGGTTCATTACTGTCATCCATTCGATTTTTCTTTTAAAACGCCTGCAAGAGTTATTCCTGCCTCCTCCCCAACCTCTTCTGAATCAGAAGTCTGGACTGGACAAGGGGCCCACACTTATACACAGAGTAGGAACAAAGGAGAAAAGTGCTTCTGCCTGAAACTAAGGCTGCTTTCCTCATTTCTGAATGCGAAGAACTAAAAAGCAAACATTTCCACTACTCCTCTCAGGGAGAGACGCCCTACAGTACGGCAAAGGCTGCGCAGGACGCAGCGCGGGCTCCCCGAGCTGCCTTTTCTCCACAGCCCCCTGGGGCACCCGGGGCCGATGTCAGCACACCAGCATCACTGTTCTGACGGAGCGCTCCCTTCAGCTCAGGGCATACAAGGGGGACACCAACGTAAGAGAACGGCACCTCTGCCTCTCAGAGCCCTGACACTGCCAGGGACAGAGGGGAGCACGACACTTCTCTCCCTCCCCTTCAACAACGGCCCACCGCACCCGGAGCACACAGCGGGCCCTCAGGCAGGAGAATTCAGACATCCGTTTTTGCCTGCCTCACCACAACTCACGTGCTGTCAGTCAGAAGGTCCCTCCCCCAGTACAACAGAGTATACACGACTTGGGCTGACCACCTCTATAGCCACTGGTCAATACAGAGGTGCACGGGCACCCAAACGGCTGACAGCGATGCTGAAAAGCAGTCGGGATCTGTTGGAGCATGAGGGGAGCGGAAGGAGGCAAAGCCTTCCTCCTGACATCGCTTACGGTCTACACACAGCCGTGCCTGCAAGAGAGCAGCAACTGCCCCCCACGGCCCTCTCAGGCAAGCACAGCCTCCACTGCAGCCAAGGGACTCAGTGGACCTCCTGGGAGACGGGACATGCAAGAGGGAAAACAATTAGGAGGGAAGATATGGTATTCCGAACCAGGTCAAGAATACTAGTTTGTCAGAAGCCACAGTTATTCTGTGGCTGGCGCATCCTATATGGGTGCTGGTTCGAGTCCTGGCTGCTCCATTTCCAATCCAGCTCTCTGCTATGGCCCGGGAAAGCAGTGGGCAATGGCCCAAGTCCTTGGGCTCCTGCACCCACATGGTAAGACCTGGAGGAAGCTCCTGGCTCCTGGGATTAGATTGGCACAGCTCCGGCTGTTGGGGCCAATTGGGGAGTGAACCAGCAGATGGAAGACCTCTCGTGTGCGCTCTGTGTAACTGACTTTCATGTAAGCAAATAAATTAAAAAAAAAAAAAAAGACAGTTATTCTAAAAATGCCTTTCCCCTCTTCATTAAACAAAAACAAAAACACTATAGGGAAAAAGCCAAGCATTTTCTAATGGAACTGGGAAAAGTTCAATGACAAGTGAACACTTCCAAGTGCTTTATCTTTTTGGTAGGCATCTATCATCTGATGAACTGGACTGAAGCCACTGATCTTTAAGAGCGACTTAAATTCACTGCTGAATCAATCGCCAGTCCCTCCCGCCAATCTGCACAAATCACAGCCGCACTCTGCTGGTCAGCGTCGGAACACTGAAGCGTTGCCGATCCAGGTGCTGTCCACGTGCCTGCTGAAGAAGCTAGAGCCAAGAGGCTGGGATGAGAAGGGATTCGCCGAGACCCTAAGCTGGATAAGAAGTACGGCCATACACATAGTACACATCCGATTCTTTCTCCCCTCTGAGTATTAGACACAAGACCACTCTACTTCAAGTGTTAAGAGGGAAAATGAGGGCCGACAGCACCTGGCCCATGAAAACTAATCGTACAGGGAAGGAGGCAGACACATCCCCACCTGTGAAGCCCCTGAAGCATGGGGGTGAGCAGCTGATAACCCCTCATGAGGCTGTGCGGCTGCTGGAGAGCCGAGTCTACTCAGAGGCTCTGGGTCAGAAGACGGAGGAACACAGCAGGTCCCGACACTGGTTTACAGACTCAAGACAAGACTGGCAAGACCTGAGACAGACCACCAGCAAGTGGGGCTTGGCTGCGGTGGCTCCTCTGCAGAACTACCAGGTCAAGGTGCGCACCCTATTCTTAGGGGCAGAGGAAAAGCATTTCTTCCTGTGTCGTGAGAACGTAAAACAAAACACAAAGACAAAAAAAGTTAAAACTCGGCCAACCACAGAAAAAAAGTCAGGAGAAAAGAAATAAGCCTCCAAATCAAACTTCTCTAGATTACACCTTAAACTATCCTGATGAGGATCTGGTACAGGATGTCCTAGCATATAAATCTTAATATTTTAGTCTGCATTATTTGATGATATCGAACTTTGAATAAGAGTGTATGATGCTAATTTGACATGCCAGAAAATACAGCAGTAAACGAGTGTGTGTCCTATTTTCCACCAACAGCAATGGAACTCTGTTTTCTAACACTGTGGCAGCCAAAATCTAAACGGACACCACAATGACTAGTTCATCAGGTACACCAAGAGGCAAGTCTACGACTCTGGTAAGGAAAAACCTCTCTGCCACTGCGCTGAGAGCTGCACCAGGATGGTCCCTTCTTCCTGGTGACACCTAACAGGAAT